CCCAAACGATATCCAAATTGAGATCCGTAAACTCCTATGCGCTCGTGACAACACAAGGATCATTCTAGGATAAAATGTGGCCTCTGCCGGACTGCCCACGCGCCGCCCCACGCGCTGCCGCGCGTGGGTGGCTTGATCACTTTTCAGGTGACCGGAAAAACTTAAAATTTTGGCTCCAAACTCCTGTCCTAGGTAATACACCTAATTTGGAGTCACTTTTGTTCTTGGGTAATGGCCAAAAAATGGCCGGAAGTAGCCGGAAATCCCAACTAAAAACCGGCTGAAGCTAAATTTCGAAATTTGACTTGTAAACTCTCAAAATTTCTGGAAACCCAACCAACAGGCAGCTAGAGCACGAAAAATAGATGAATTTTCATACCTCACTCGTCCAATTCGGTGGAGAAACGAAGGAGAACGGAGGTGTTGAAGTTTCTGAAAATTTCAGAAAATTTGCAGCAGCTTTGCTGCGTTTTCCGGCGGTCTCGACGGCGGCTTCCGGCTGAAGATGGGCTGGGGTTCGAAGGCGAGGTCCGGCCGGTCCTTTTGGCTCCGGTCTCGTGCGCTGCCGTGGCCGGTGGCCTGAGTTACAAAGGGAGGAAGGGAGAGCGATGGAGTCGGGGAGAGAGAGAGGAGAGAACGCACGGGAGAGAGAGAGAGAGAGAGAGGGAAATGAGAGAAATAATCAGATTTTCTGATTTTAACAAAATTCATTTCTGAAAATTTCCAATTAGGCCGTTAATGGTTTTTCAACCATATCTTTCTCGTTCCAAGTCCGAATCGAGCCTACTCCGTGTCTACGGACTCGGCTCAGTACCACCTATCTAAAAACACCACTTGCTGCCCCAAACTCTCTCCGGATAAGAATTGACCTTTTTGCCCCCACTTCAAAGGCAAAATTGGAAATTCCAAATTTTAATTAAATTAAAACCAATCTTAATAATATTTTTGGGTCGGGATGTTACAATACCCATCTTCACCAAAAGGAAAAAGAAGAGGATATTGTAAAGACATAAATTTTGGATTTAATTTTGTCACTCTTTTTAACTCTCCATTTTTAAATTCTATTACAATATCTCTATTCGAATAAAAAAGGCCTATATCTCCCACTATTAAACCACCAATTTCGTCACATGTTGGTTGTTCATATTGTTTGCTATCATTGGATTGCCTGCCTAACAATGTGATTTTTAAAGGAGGAAGAGAACCTTCTTCAAATTTATCTCTAATTGTTCGAAAAAGTTTAACCAAATCATTTGTTTGATCAAACATTTGAATCAAACCTTGTACAATGTTTTGATCAAGCTTTTCATTTTTTTGAATACAATTAACTGCATCAAGGCGATTCATAACCTCATTATGGGTGTCATATATATATAGTGTTAAGCTCATAATTTCATACATATACATGCCCTATTTACTTACTTCTTTTGCTTAGTTTCTTAGATTTCTAAGTTATTTGCCTTCCTTTGTGTGTTTTGTAGGCAAATAGAGCAAGAGAGCATAATTCATGCAATTCAAGCATGTTAAGGCCTAATTTGGATGAATGGATGAAGAGCTTAAAAGACAAACTCATTTTGGCTACAGCCCCCTGCCAGTCCAGTTCCGTAGGTCATATTGCAAGCTTTGTTTCAGCAACCTACACAGCTCGGATGAGGCAGCATTCTTCATGAAAGTTGTTCCAATGGGTGTGTACTATACCATATCCAAAATTCAGCCCCATTGGATAAATATGGAGTCTGTTACCTAGCAAACACAGAGCCATGCTCAGGATGGATTTTATCAGCGCGCAAAATGAGTTAGCAATTTGTTTTGGCCTTAACTTCCTCCTCCGA